ACATCTTCTCGAAGTTTAAATCAACGCCAATAGACCCGTTGGGCCCTCCCATCGATTTGTGTAACTCTTTAAGAGATCCCTCTTTATTCTGGATCTGATGACAAGTGATGTCAACAGTACCTCCGCCTACGTCTACCACTATATATTTGGTGCCTTTGCGTTCAAACATTCAATTAGTTGATCAGATTGTCACCAAAATGTATTTTATTAGAAGTAAATTAATTATGAAAAGCGTTAATACCTTTAGTAAATGCTGTCTCAACACAACTATTTATATTATTATGTGAGCTCTTTATAGCATCGGCAGAATCTATGAGATCTAAGAAACCACTCTATGGTTAGTCTGCAGTTTGTCCGCAATAGGGATAGTATTATAGCTTTAAATTTAGCTCTCAGTTAATAAAAGTTAATAATTAGTTATGATATAAGTTATAGTAATTTGTTAAAATAATCAATGAAATGAATTTGGAGTAAAATTCTCTATAACCTACTGTACTGTATGTGATATTTACCTGTTTGGCATTCAACGGCTATATTATCATCATTTGTATTATTCTTGTCGTGAAGTAAAGCGTGTCTCTGTGGCGGACACATAGGTATCAATTGATTGAATTTAAGGCGTCGACAGTATATTGAAGCCGCTTCTGGTTCTAATGCTATCAAAAGTTGACAGCTATTGTCAGCACTTCCTATACCGGAGCATATGTCATACAATTTTATTCCAAAGGCCTCCCATCCGGGACTGTTGGTCGGGGGTTATCCTAATAAAGCTGGTCGTCACCATCGTTGAGCCCGAGAAGTCCCACGAGGGGATCGTCATACCAGTCCCTAACACACAACCATTCAATTCATTTTACATATTCATTATGTGTTACATATTCAGGGTTAATCACATTTCAATAATTATAGCTATAATACAAATTGTTTAATTAATTAAAATTTTTATGCAATTATTCTTCACATATCTCTCAAATTGGTGTCAAAACTAAATCAATAATTTTATTATAAAAGTATCAAGAGTGCACTTTTAAATAAATATTGATACAAGGTACAGTCATTAGGAAGTGTTTCATTTTTAATTAACAAAACTTTTATTGTAAAAAAATGCGTGAAAATAGTTATAAAAAGTCATAAATTGTTTGCAATGAGTGTATGAATCGATTGGTTTATGAAACGTGTATTTAATTAATACAACAAATCATTGGACTTTTTATATTAGAAAATCAAATAAACAGTGATTTTATTGAAATACACATCAAATGCACACATTTTACTAAATCGTAACACAATTCACAATTAAATGACACAATAATTACTTAATTTATTAACAAGTTTTGCAAATAAGAGGAAAAGTTGGCTAACATTTGGAGACATAAGCGTTGATTGATTAGAGACTATGTTTGCATGAAATAGTAGTTAATGGCATTGAATACATGAGACAATCAATGAAAGCATTCATTGAATCAATAGTGACACTAATAATGGTTAATATGACGGGTAATAGACTAATAGTAATGGTTAATAATGGTTAATAAGGCTGTAATTCATGGACACTTACCCTGATATGGTTTGACGAGAGAGTGCTCTTTCTTAGGGTAAATACCTTTGTCCTCCCATTCATTGGGACAGACATATGATATAATTGCCAAACAGATCAAAAGGTTGTGATAAATATATTTATTAATTGCATTCAAATTCAACGTTAAATTCATTTTAATACTAAATTCAGTGAAAAGCCGCTAAACATGTCATTCAATACACCATTCAATCACTCGATGATTGTCTGCAATGACTTCACTTTCATTTCGGCCGTCAATAACGTCTCACTGAATATGAAATGCCATTCAATGTGAGAGTCATTGCATTGCATTGAACTGAACGCCCGCTTCACGTAATTGGTGTCCAAACAGTGTTCACAACATTTGAGACAAACTTGAGTTTTGTTTACAAATTGTCTCCAAAAACAGCATTTGTTTGACATTTGGTTGCATTGATTGACAAATCAGTTGTCATTTGAAGACATGTTTGAAAAGACAGTGAAGTTTCGGTCCAAACATAAGTCCCATTATGAACCTATGGAACCGTTTGGTGATCGCAACACACCATCACAGGTATGACCAGACAGTTGATGACAGTTGAGTACAAGACATGTTTGTGGTGTCCCTCAGGAGGACGTGTCGGACAGGAAGGGTGTGTCGTCGGGCACTCGGATCCCGTGGAGGGCCTTATGTTTGGCGCTATTCCTGATGTTCTTCGGCACAGTTGTGATCGTGGTATCGGTTCTCACATTATTTGGGTTTATAGTGAATATCCAACCAAATGATGGCCTCTTAGTGCTCACATTCCTCGGGTTCTTGATGTTCATCCCCGGCTTCTATCACATCCGTATTGCATACTATGCTTACCATCGATACGATGGATACAACTTCGATGACATTCCAGACTTTGATTGATTAGACGTTTACACAAATAGACAAACATTTATCTATTCATGAATTACTAGTCACTTATCACTGAATATAACATTAATGAACGCATAATCTATTGTTATGTTTATATCCTTTAATATTAAGTCATTTATATAAAGCAATACATTATTATATTTAATGAAAAATATTCACTTTTTATATGAAATGATAGTTCAATACAAATATGAATAAAGTTTTGTATAATTTGGCACTAATTTGTTAGATATGAAGATACAGTAGTTGTTTCAGTTGCTTAGGAAATCGACCTCAGCTTTGACACACTTGCCGGTCAACACATCCAACGCACAGACCTATCGTTCAATAAATGATATATAGTGTGAAAAGTGGTGTCAAAGTGGTGTCAAAGTGGTCGCAAGAAAGACAGTCAATCATTGAATCAAACCTTGATTTCTGTGTCGCCGAAAATCATTTGCGTTTGTATTTCCCTCTTAACCATCGCTTTGAGGGCTGGGTTTATATGATTAGACTCTGGGATGAGATCCAAATCCAGATATAAAGTACCGCATCGATGGACATCGGTATCTGTGATGTACTCGACGTCATCTCTTTCACTGCAATAGATGTGAATAATACTACAGGTCTGGCCCTCATTGACAGGGGTGTAGCTCCTGGTGATGGACTCATATAAGCCGATGGATTGGTCGCAAACCACGAATCTGTCGAAGACATCAGCGCACCACTCGATGCTGTCTTTGATGGCCAACTTATGGAGCGGGTGTTTGTTACGAATGAATCGGTTAAGGACTCCGACCCCATACGTGAGTTTAGCGCGCCTACAGCTGATGACAGTGGGGTCGAGACCGTACATAACAGCGCCGCGAAGTATCGCCAGATTAGGTGATTGAGGGATAATTAGTTTGAGTCGCGAGGAGAAGGCGTTCCTTATGTGCGACTGAAGTATCGGTGATTCAGCGAAACCTCCGACAAGGAACAGATATGTGACGTCTTTGACTGATCTACTGTTCAGTATATCCCAAATGTGACTAATGATCTGTTTGGTTACCGGTGCGAACAGTTGCTGCATAACCACGGGCTCCAACCGAAGCATTCCCAGTTTGGAGCAATAGGTGATCCCTTTCCTATCCGTATATTTCTTCACTGCATTCTCGACCTACAAATGGTTTAACAAAATAATTATTTAATGAAAAATCAAAATCAATTAATTCTTACTGTAATTCCCTTAACTTTTTTGAAAAAGTTTATAAAAGAGAAGGGAAGGGATATATTAGAAGTGGTTGTCTGTAGGGGACTGGCGCTCCTCTTCCTGGCCTCGAAAGCAGCCATTAGGTCCACATAACCGGCCGGTCTCTTGCACTTGAATTGAGTGACAAAATCGGTGCCAAATATTTCTGATAACATCTTCTCGAAGTTTAAATCAACGCCAATAGACCCGTTGGGCCCTCCCATCGATTTGTGTAACTCTTTAAGAGATCCCTCTTTATTCTGGATCTGATGACAAGTGATGTCAACAGTACCTCCGCCCACGTCTACCACTATATATTTGGTGCCTTTACGTTCAAACATTCAATTAGTTGATCAGATTGTCACCAAAATGTATTTTATTAGAAGTAAATTAATTATTACAAGCGTTAATACCTTTAGTAAATGCTGTCTCAACACAACTATTATAGCTCTTTATAGCGTCGGCAGAATCTATGAGATCTAAGAAACCACTCTATGGTTAGTCTGCAGTTTGTCCGCAATAGGGATAGTATTATAGCTTAAAATTTAGCTCTCAGTTAATAAAAGTTAATAATTAGTTATGATATAAGTTATAGTAATTTGTTAAAATAATCAATGAAATGAGTTTGGAGTAAAATTCTCTATAACCTACTGTACTGTATGTGATATTTACCTGTTTGGCATTCAACGGCTATATTATCATCATTTGTATTATTCTTGTCGTGAAGTAATGCGTGTCTCTGTGGCGGACACATAGGTATCAATTGATTGAATTTAAGGCGTCGACAGTATATTGAAGCCGCTTCTGGTTCTAATGCTATCAAAAGTTGACAGCTATTGTCAGCACTTCCTATACCGGCCTACATATCAATGCATATAAATATCACAATAAGTTTTCATGACAAACAGCATTCATAAAAAAATTAATTCATTGAGAACTAAATCTTTTTTCAAGTTTACGCTTCAATTATATTAATATTGTAATTATATTAACAAAATTAGAGCTAAAATAATGTATTATTTAATGAAATTTCATAAAAAAGTGTTGAAAAACTTTTTAACTCATTCTCTTGAAAAGGTTACTTTATTTGTAACTTATATACCCGGAGTATACCTCATAAGCTGCTGCTCTCATAAATTGTTTGGCCGATGGTTTCCAGAGCGCCGGAACTGTAATAACCCAACGGATGTCTTCATTGAGAATATTGATGGCTGACTGATCACTGAGTTCTTGGAGCGCCAGTAGTTTAAAATAACGCAACGCGTGTGCGAACACAGTCAGCGCAGACATGCATTTGTTACCATTCGTTGCTTTGATTTTAGTGTCCAATGATAATGACTAAAGACAATCATAATTTGTTTAATACAATATAAAATTTATATTATAAATATAAAAGTTACTACAAGTTTTAAAGTTGTTGAATAATTTGTCATAACTGTTGATTTCTCTCAAGATAATATAAAAAACTTAAATACTATAATATAATAAATGAATGTTTTGGCAAATAGACAATAAAATATCTGCACCGATGGCTATGAAATAGACAAAAATTTCATTTAAAGTGTATTTGACAATAAATGAATTGACAACTGTATTGTATTTTCACTCGAGTTTCGTTACTGATCCTTAAAATATTTGTGACTCAAATGCTGTCAATACTGTATATCTAACTTATTTTGTATTCGCATATTAATTATGGTTTAATTTAGTTAAGTATACATTTCTAAATATATGTCAAATTATGAATCCATTAATTAAGAAAACATTAAATGAATAAATGAATGAATGGTATAGTTGAATGACCTGATTGTAATGCAAATCCATTTTAAACTTTTCAAAGTAGAACCACTTCTTGGAGTCCTTTGGTTCAAGACTCGAGTAATGATCTCGAGCTGCGAATCCAAACGAGTGAAACGCGCCGTCAGTATTGAGAAGTAATATCGTCCTATTGTACCACAAATTCAATTCAATATCATTTCATTAAACACTATTTCGCGCAATACTTACGGAATCTTTTGGTTGCTTACATCGGGATCACAACCTATGAATGGAGTAATCAATTTTGAAATTATAGCTCAAATCCATGAAAGCTTACAATTATTAGTGTAATAATTATGATAATATATACCATCGACTTTTCTCATCATATGAATAGCATTGTCTACATCTCTGGTGAATGCAAAGCTATAACCACTAAAAGTTGTGCCAAAATCGATGGCAACGACTATAAAATGCGAGGAATTGGGGGAACTGGTGCCCGAGTCCACAGAACTATAGGCCAAAGCAATGTATTCAATGAAAATATATTTACCATTATTTTGCTTTAATTCATTTGTTAACATTTTAATCTCACAATACAATCTTTCGCAATTTTAATTTCAATTATATTTGAATATAAATTTCTATAAAAATTATATCTAATCTATGGCGACATGGATCATCCAGCTAATCTATTGAATTGTTTTTTAAACTAAGAGCACAGACCTGAGACTTGTTCGCGTGATCGCACCCTCCAAACCATTAGACGCCCCGATATTTAGTTCTTTCATATTATTATTGTTATTATTATAACTGAAATTCAATTCAATTATATTTTTATTATTTTGGACATAACTATCGTTATTTAGTGTTTGAGTGTTATTATCATTTGTTTTGATGTTTTCAATCATTTGATTAGACTTAGTGCCGCTCTCATCAGTTAAATACAGTTCTTCAATGAGATTATCAGTTTGTGTTTCGTTCACTTCAATCAGATTTTGTCGTTTCGTTTCAACACTTGAGACGTTGGAGTAGTTGAGAAGACGCGGCGGTTTATTAGGCCTTAAACTGTTGTTTTTATTTAATTAAGATTATCAGTTTGTGTTTCGTTCACTTCAATCAGATTTTGTCGTTTCGTTTCAACACTTGAGACGTTGGAGTAGTTGAGAAGACGCGGCGGTTTATTAGGCCTTAAACTGTTGTTTTTATTTAATTGTATTTCTTGGTGATCGTTTTGATTCTTGTCCTGAAGTCGGGGTAAAATGAGGGGTGAGTTAGCGTTGGAAGGACTGGCCTCTGCTATAGACCTATCGAGCTCTTGGATGGCGAGCATAGCTTCTGCATCACTGCCGGCACTAGAGTTGTGACCAATTATTTGAATGATATGGTTATGTGCTATTAAATCGCAATCCATTGCTTGGCATTCAATCACATCAATGTCTACATTGCCTCGAAAGCCTCCACTGGGAAGGGATGCGATTTTTTTCATGACTTCTTTCACAATCGTTGGACTCTTCAAAGCCGGCAATTGTTTTCTTTGTTCATTCAATACATTTGTCTCGTTTAAGAAATTTTCTTTCGCTTCAAGTCTTTCAGTTGGTTTCTCTTCACTCATAACCCGACAAAACTCTTTAATCGACTGAATGGGCACTTCTTGTGGAACTGATAGTTTGAAATTCAATTTGTCGTTTGCACTCACTTTCAGATCTTTAAAAGAGTTATCATTTTCACTGATGGATAGGCAGCTATTATTTGCACCCAATTCAGTGATTTGTTCATTAGTTTCACATTTATTATCATTCAGACGAGTGGTTTGGAGACGATTTACTGGTTTAGGAGACGCGAGAACAGTGAATAGAGTTCCCGAAGACTTACTTTTTAGACCACTTTTTGAATCTTTCTGTGACTTCACAAGACTTTTATTGTCGGAATTGACGATTTGTCGGCCAACCAGAGTAAACACCGATGACTTGCTTTTCTCTTCTTTTTGGACGCCTTTTAATACATTATTTTAAAATAAAAACAACTTTTGTAAAAATGAACATTTAGTTATATAGAAATCGTAAAACATTAAACAAACATTCTTTAACTCTTATTGTATTTACTATTGTATTCTCAAAACCTAATTATTAAATCCTATAATAAATTCTTTTGTTTAAAATTTTATTATATTCAAAGTATAGGCAATTCACTGATTCTATAAATGAAGGACTTTTGTGACAATTATTCAATTGATTTAAAATTAAGATATAAAATTAATTAATTTTTTAATATACAATTTTCAAGTTTCTATACAATATTCAACATTCATATTTATAGTATACATTTTTATGCAGGTATTGTATTTAATAGCATATTTCAAGTGTGGGATAAGTCGAGTGCGAGACTTATTTAAGAATAAATTATATTTTTCATAATTTATTCAAATTTTCTTAAAAATGAATCATTAAAATGGATAAAAATTCAAAGAAATCACGTTTTAGTAATTATAGTATAGTTGCTAAAAAATAGTCCTAAAACATCAATTGCTAGAACAGCACAGTTATAAGGTATTCAAACGGGACGTTAACTCCTCAGAGCAAAGGTCAACATTTCTATGTTTTTGAATATAATGCAAAATATTTAACTTAACAGTATATAGTATTATATAATACCGTATTATATAAACACAGATTATGCGATATTCTTTGTGTTTCAATGTCCATTACAATATGAGCACAAATAT